GAAGTTTCAGGTACCCACGAATAATATTATTCAATCACAACAAAATAACTAAAATAGTTATTCTAGGTTTTTAATATGTAATTTCGTCCAAATTTGAATTTAAAATGTCTATAAAAAATAAGTGTGTTCATATATTTTTTAGATTTTTTGGTTACAGTATGAACTATTTACGAGAACCTTTGTGTTGAATTTGCAATCCTTAGCTATAAAAACTGAACATTTTATAATTTATTAATTACAATGATTGATAATTTTCGAGATTTTGATAAATTTTGTCAAAATTTGATCTTTAAATGCTTATAAAAAAAAACTGTGCCTATGTATTTTTAATATTTTTCAACTGCTATTGTAACAATATATCAGGAGCCTTGTATTAAATTTTTACACTTTTTGGCTAAACAGATAAAACTTTATTGATATTTATAGAAAAAAAAACTAAAAAAAATTGAAAGCTGTAAATGTCCATAAACATCTCAAAAAGAGTCAAAATATTTTCAAAATTGTATGGTGTATAGAAAATGCTAATTTAAACATTCAGTGAAATTTTCATGTATCTACAGTTGTTCGTTTTTGAATTGCAACAAAATAAGGAAATCGCTACATGAGTAATCGAGTGAATATCCAATGTTGTAAAAATTTGAATTTCAAACGCTCATAAAAATTTAACTTGACTGTCCGGTAGAGATTTTTTTATTGATAAAGGTAGATAATCTTATAAGGAATCTTGTGTTTCATTTTCAAATCTTAGATTTAAAAAGAAAAATTTTTACGAATTCTTAACTCAAAATAATTTGCTAATTTTCGTGATTTTTCCATATTTTGTCAATTTTTGAACTTTAAATGCTTATAAAAAAAAATTGTGACTAAGGATTTTTAATATTTTTCATCTGCCTTTAAACCAACATATTAGGAGCCTTCTATTAAATTTTCAAGCTTTCGCAACCAACAAATAAAATTTTATTGATATTTCTAGAAAAAAAACTAAAAAAAAATGAAAAATGAAAATGTCCCTTAACAGTTCAAAATAAATCAAAATATTTTGAAAATGTTATCGTGTATAGAAAATGCAAATATAAACAACCAGTGAAAATTTCATGTATCTACGGTAATTTGTTTTAAAGTTACACCAAAAACCAAATTCGATTTTTTGGAAAATCGATTTTGCGTAAAAATTCCCGTTTTTTCCTTAATTGTTATGTTGTTTTTTCCCGGCGCTTGTGAAAACTACTGGAAAATGTTTATTTTTGACCCCCCAAAGTACCAACTAGATTCACTTTCCTATCAGAAAAGGTACTATTGAAGAAAATCGAAGCACTTTTACTGTCCCAAAACGTGATGACAGACACAAAAATATAAAAATATAAAAATATAAAAATATAAAAACACACATCATTGTAAAATCAATACATTCATCGTTTCACTCAGAATCTAAAATAACTTTAATAGTCATTATATGGGCTATATTATATTATCTACCTACACGCCGTTTATCATTATAAATTGTATTAATAATATTTTCACTCCCTATGTACCCTCAACACATAGGCGGAGATTGGGGGGTGCTTGGGGGGGCTTAGCCCCCCCCCAAAAAAAGATCGAAAGCCCCCCAAAATTATTAAACATTTTTCATAGTACAAAATATTAAAATAGGTACTTATTTTACAACGATTGATAAAATCTTGGAACTTTAAAAAATATTTTTTTTTCCCGAAATGTTGTCAAAATAAATGTCAATATAATAATAATTATTATGCTATATTATACCTAATCGTCATCGGTACGCACCGGCTGACCGTCGCGACGAATTGTTATCGCATTATCGCAATGACAAAAATAGAAATTTCCGATAATTATTAGACTGATAAACATTATTAATGTGCCGATTGCTGTTTTGACCGTTTCGTCTTTCGTGTTGCATCTTGCGGTGTTCACTGATGTTGTAAATCGTTAATATTATTTATTAAAATGTCAAATTATTTTGAGTTATTTAATATTAAAAAAAAAACCTAAAGAAACAGAAACTGTAAAATCTGAAAACGTGTTGCCGACAACTACAGTACACTCCGACTCGTCATCGAATATTAATTTTGATTCTCAGCTGCTTCAAATTAGTGATATAAATGATTTGGGTAATATTAACTCTGGTCCATCACGTCCAATTATGAAGGTAGATATTATGTATTTGAGATAAATATTGGCAATATTGCTTAGGTAGCTTATTTTTTATTAAAGTTGTATGCATGCAAAAATGTATAGAGTGACTATTATAGTGACTACTAGGTACTTTTAATGTTCCAGTCTTATCCAATGACAAAATTTGGTCAACAAAACCGTAGTTTTAATGCATCATATTACGACTGCTTTGAATGGCTTGAATATAGTATCATCAATGACGCTTTGTACTGTTTTGCTTGTCGTATTTATGGTTCTGGGAACAAAACCGAAGATACATTTACCAAAATTGGTTTTAAAAAATGGAATAAAGTAAACATTTTAATAATTAAACAATTTTATTGAATACTTTTTTTTTTATTTATTACTTTTAAATTTAATACAGTTAAGTGGTTCAAGAGGATCTAAAAAAGGTATTGAAAATCCATTCCAAGGTATACCTTAATTAATTGATTACTTAACTATGTTATTAATAAAAATGATTATTGTATTAATTATATTTTAATTTAAAATTTAGGAAATAAAAGAAATAGGAAAGAACCAAATGATCTTAAAAATTTCATTGTCACTGCTAGCACTAGTGCACAGTACACAGAACCTACACAAAGTAACGTACAGACAACTGAAGATTTCTACAGAATAAATGCGTACTATGTGATTCTTGACACACTAGTTACAAAGTTAAAAGAAAGATTTTCGAATAATAGTTTACAAATGGGCATATCTGTTGATAATTTTTTTCAACTAAAATTTGAAGAAAGTCAATTTTTTATTGATCATTATCAAGTAAATCTTCAGTTTTTAGTTTTATGATATAAGTACATTAAACATTTTAACTGTTTTCTGGGATTATTGAATTTATCGAAATTCAATATTCAGTCAGAGATGACAGTAGCAAAAAACAGCATCTTGCAATCAGGAAATGAAATAAATTATAATACAATAAAACAAAATATTTCTAAAACTGTGTTTCCCAACTTATACAAGCTACTACAGGTAGCCATAACTATACCAATCAGCTCGGCTACATGTGAGCGGAGCTTTTCTGAAATGCGCGAAGTCAAGACATGGCTGCGCACGAGTATGCTGCAAGACAAATTTAATAACTCTTCAATATTGTACATTGAAAGAGATATCAATATCAGTATTGAGAAAGTTATTGATATATTTGCCGATAAAAATAGATTTATTGTATTAAAATAATAAAATATTTATTATATTATAAATTAATAATTTTTAAAGTGCATATTATTATATAGTTAGTAATTCATATTTAGTAGTTTTGTTATTTAGTAATTTAGTATAGTTGATGCTTACTGAAGAGTGAAGGTATGATAGATATTAGAGTGGGGGTGTGGGGGCAAAGCCCCCGCGCCCACTTTGCAAAGCAACATTTAAGCCCCCCCTCAAATTTGATCAAATCTCCGCCTATGCCTCAACAGCATCAAAAACCAATTCCATCCTGGAGATATCGTGATAAAAATACAAAATAAACTAAACGAGGCCTCAATTAGAAACAAACATATCACGCTCATGTGGGTTCCCGGACATACGGGCATCATTGGTAACGAACTAGCAGACCAACAGGCTAAAATTGTAACCTCGAACTCGGGAGTAACAGTAATATCAGGGCTAACATATGATGACTTAAAATCCCATATTAGTGAGATGTCCAACGACAAATGGCTTCGGTTATGGAAGCAACAAACTACCAAACTGAACACAATTAAAAGTTCCACCAACCGATGGATTAACAGCTCTTTAAAAAGGAAAGAAGAAATAATATTAAACCGCTTGCGTATCGGACATACTAGACTAACCCACGGATACTTAATGGCCAAGGAAGAAGCTCCTTTATGTGATGCTTGCGGTTTAAGACTGTCCATGAAACACATATTAACGGAATGTTTCAAGTATACGAACAAGACAGACAAAGGATCGGAATCGACGTGACACTCAGCACCGCACTGGGACCAGAATTCGAGGACAATAACAAGATAATAAACTTCCTAAAATCAACTAACTTATATAATTCAATTTAAATATTATGTTAATTTTTCCATAGTTCTTAGTTATTAGAATACGATAGCATAATGAACCCCTATTGTAATTAACTTTTGTGCCACCATAGCTGTAACTAATGGCCACGGATGCCGGGTTGTTTATTTAAGATCAATAAAAAAATAATATTTTCAAAGATGGCTTATACAGATTATCGTTTTAATGGGTTCCCTGAAGTGGATGTTGAATGTTGTCGTGAACGTTTTTCCATTATTAAATAAATGCAATAATCGGCTAGTCCGAATTTAGTTCAACAATAATTACCGGCATGGCGGCATTATAACAAGTCACAACACAGATAAAATGAGGAATTTAATAAATAATTATTTTGACATGTTATTGGGGAAGTCTATAATAGTCTATAATTTTTATGTTGTTTTTCCCGGCGCTTGTGAAAACTACTGGGAATTTTTACTTTTGAGCCCCCAAAGTACCAACTAGATTCACTTTCCTATCAGAAAAGCTACTGATGAAGAAAATCCAAGCACTTTTACTGTCCTAAAACGTGATGACAGACACAAAAATAAAAAATAAAAATATAAATAAAAATATAAAAAAAAACATACATCATTGTAAAACCAATACATTCATCGCTCCGCTCAGAATCTAAAATAATAAAATGGCCATCAAATAGATAAACGGTACATACTATATTCTAACTAAAATCCTTTTACTAGTTTGAAGAGTGTGTATATATTGTTATTTGCATAAACAATAATTGCACGATAATACACATTATAAGAGATATAATAATAGTATTATATTACTTACTTCCCGATAGAACTATATTTGTAATCAGTGTTGTTTAACTTTTTAGATTGAATAAATTGATTTAAACGTAATTTAGCGTTATCAATTGTCCAACCACCGTGTACAGCGGCATTCGCATCTAAACGTTTTGCCTATTAATACAATTTAAAAATAATAATATTAACAAATAGTTATAAGTAAAAGTAATAAGTATTTTACCTCTTCAACATTACTTTTGTCATTCAAAAAATCATTAAACTGAAAATTTGCCTTCCCAACTGGTCGATAAGCTTCACCGAGTATATTGGGAGTTTTGTTTTCTTGATAAGCAGATTTTGGTTGCACATTATTCATTAATCTTTGGGATGCATCAACCATTAAATCATTTGAAGCAGGACCAGAAATACAATTCTAAAAAAACCCATACTTAGTACAATAAGAATAAGTTTAACATAATATTAGATTAATGAACTTACAGATGGTAACGAATCAGTAGATACAAATCCTTCCCTCGTCAAGTATAAGAGAAAATCGTAGAATGCATTTTCTTGAGCATTTTTTATATTAGTTGAATTTCCCATACCTATGTAATTATGTCCAGTTAGAGTAATTTCAAATTTAAATTGTGGTCTAAGTTTTGTACCTAGAATAAAATATTCAAAGTTTCTTTAATTTTTTATAAGCATTATGTGATAATTGTTAATTTATTTTCTCGTTATCATACTCTTGTGAAATCCCAAAATGGGATGTTACAAGAATCATCTTACCCTTCTATAACAATGTTTGCAAGATTTATTGTAATTAAATTATAATATACTCAATAGCAAACAGAAAACATAAATATCATAAAATAAGATTAAATATTTTTCTACTAATAAAAAGTTCATCAAATATTACCAGATTGCATGGCTTCAAACTGTAGTTCCAAGTTATTCTTTGCACACCATTCTTGTAGAAAAGCTTTTGGATTTTTTTTTAACTCATTAGATTGAATAAATTTGGTATTATCAACTGTCGAATTACCACATACATCAAAATGCACATCTAAACTTTCTGCCTATTAATACAATAAAAAAAATATATAACCAAATAGTTATGAGTAAAAGTAAAAAGGATTTTACCTTTTCAACTAAACTGTTGTCATTTAAACAATTTTTAAACTGAACATTCCCATTTGGTCGATAAGCATCACCAAGCATATTGGGAGTTTCGTTTTCTTGATGAGCAGATTTTGGTAGCACATTATTCATTAATCTTTGGGATGCATCAATCATTAAATCATTTGAAGCAGGACTAGAAATACAATTCTAAAAAAAAACCCATACTTAGGTTAGGTTAGTACAATAAGAATAAGTTTAACATAATATTAGATTAATGAACTTACAGATGGTAACGAATCAGTAGATACCAATCCCTGCCTTGTCAAGTATAAGAGATAGTCTTTTGATGCATCTAATTGAGCTGATTTTTTTTTATTTGAATTTCCTAAACCTATGTAATTATGTCCAGTTACAGTAACTTCACATATAAACTGTAGTTTATACTCTGAACCTAGAATAAAATATTCAAAGTGTCTATAATTTGTTATAAAAATTATGTGATATTTGTTAATTTATTTTTTGCTTATCATACTCTTGTAAAATCCCAAAAATAGGATGTTAAAAAAATCATTTCACCCATCTATAACAATGGTTGCAAGATTTATTGTGTCTATATTATACACTCAATTGCAAACAGAAAACATAAAAATCATAAAATAAGATTAAATATTTTTCTACTAATAAAAAGTTTATCAAATATTACCGGCTTGCTTGGTTTGAAACTGTGGTTCCAAATTATTCTTTGCACACCATTCATGTAGAAAAGCTTTTGGATTAGCCATTATGAGGTGTGTTTTATTAGGTAATTGTGCCTTATAATAAGATAAAATAACTAAAACTATACAAAAAACAAATTCACGTTAATAGTTAGTTACAGTAGTGAGTCGTCGTTAGATAGATTGAGGAGGCGTAGGTGGCGGCAGCGTCGTTTTTCAGTAGGTGTAGCCCAAACTAGTCTCGGTGGTTATATTTATACATACATTTGTATAAAACGATTGTTGGAAAAAAATACATGGGTATGGTGTTTTGAATATTTGAATAGTATTTGGCCCAGACTTACTAGCTATAAAATCTAAGAAAGATCCCCGGAAAGATCATTGTTCATAATCATGCATATATTTTCCTAAAAACGTAAAATAACCTCTCCAAAGAATGGAATTTAAAACCTAATTTTTATATGAGTTAAGTATTTTAATATTAACTATATTCTGTATTTTACCTAATTAGTATGATACATATTATATGATTATTTTAAACATTATGAAATAATTTGATAGTGTGTTTTAACTATATTAAGAGGACGTCATACCTGCATGTGTTGTCTCCGTCTTACAAGTGCGTAACATAGCAAATGTTACGATCAGCAGAAGTAGCTCCATTAGTTTGAAAATTAGAGAGAATTAACCGATTAGGTATCAAATTTAGAATAAGAACATTATCTAATGAACCCGTTGGTTTTTTTTTTTTATATTTTAGTTTTAAAACATGTTATGAGTATTTGAAAATTGTAAATTGTTTGTGTCTTTAAAAATATAATAATATGCACTAGGTACATATTTTTGTATATATGATGGTAATGTTTTGAATTGAATTTTTATCCTTGCAGAATTCGTTCACACGTATTATTGACGCACACCCCCGATTATTCTCTTATTGTCCTTAAATCATTATTACTACCTACTGGTAGACATTTGCGATAGGTACCTAAGATACGTCATGTGAAGGATCTGGCCATCAAAAAGTTCTTTCACACCATGTTATTTGCTTGTTTACACCAGTGATCAGACCACAGCGATTACGACGGCGTTCACAACTCGAGCCGACCCCTCCAACATTCAAGTGAAGAAACGCAGAGCGCGCGTTACTGTTGAATCATATTACAAAAACACCAATATAATATTAATCGTAATAAAGTACTCACCTTGAATAAACACACACGAACGATAGCCGTTGTTACGTCAGACGCAAATACGGCACAGACGACGGAGATGAAAACGCCCAACACACCGAAAGACGGTCTCCGTTCGACGAGCAAACCGACGCAATGGACGCACGTCGATTAGACGATTCGCAAGCAAAGTGTCGCGGACAAACGCGATTACGAGAATCGTCGCGTCCAATCTGCGAGTTATGAGTTGCTTTAAAAAAATTATCATCTTATAAAAACATCAATATAATATTAATCGTAATAAAGTACTCACCTTGATTAAACACACACGAACGAGAACCGTTGTTACGTCAGAGGATGCGACGCAAATACGGCACAGACGACGGGGATGAAAACGCCCAACACACCCCGAAAGACGGTCTCCGTTCGACGAGCAAACCGACGCAATGGACGCACGTCGATTAGACGATTCGCAAGCAAAGTGTCGCGGACAGACGCGATTACGAGAATCGTCGCGTCCAATCTGCGAGATATGAGTTGCTTTAAAAAGATTATCATATTATAAAAACATCAATATAATATTAATCGCAATAAAATACTCACCTTGATTAAACACACACGAACGATAGCCGTTGTTACGTCAGAGTCAGACGCAAATACGGCACAGACGACGGGGATGAAAACGCCCAACACACCCCGAAAGACGGTCTCCGTTCGACGAGCAAACCGACGCAATGGACGCACGTCGATTAGACGATTCGCAAGCAAAGTGTCGCGGACAGACGCGATTACGAGAATCGTCGCTTCCAATCTGCGAGCTATGAGTTGCTTTGAAACAATGGCGTAGCCGATCGATTACGTCTCGCCCGGGCCCCGACGCTCGGCTGCTTGCACAATACAACACCAGGGTCGACTTGCAATCTATTGATTTTTCCATTTTGTTGTCACCCTTTACGTTTCACCCTCGACGATATTATTTAGGGCATTTAGGCGTAATCACAGACTTCTATACTACAATATATTATGCAATATATAATATATATATACAATATGTAATATATAGAAATCTGTGAGCGTAATATATGATTATTTCATTGTCATTGTGTGATATCATCGAATTTGTTTTCGGTCGCGGACCAAAATGATAATATACCTACTCTACTCTATAGTAAGGCTCTATAATAATATGTGAGTATACGCATCCGCCGATGTGTTTGCAATAAAATATTCTAACGGTAAAACACCGCCAAAATCACAGAACAAACATAGTAGGTTAGGGATGCCATACGTCCCGTAATTCATGACAGTGTCCCAGTGTCCCCGTAACAGATCCAACATCGTAAAAATGTCCCGTATTATGAAATTCTCGTCCCGTATGTCCCGTAAAAATAGAATACATTATTGTTTAATATTTGTGTATATTATATTCAAAACGTGTTTTCAAATGTCAAGACAAAAATATTTTTAACCACTGATTGACTGATAACATATTAACATCAATTTTTCCGGTCTATGCGTTCCTATCACTTACCGTTGGGTAAACAAATTGGAATCTGGTTCCTAACATCAATACCCAAAGTATTTATAATTTTTTTGTTTAATAATTTTCAAGTTTTAAAGGCTGAGGTATAGGCCTACCGTTAAGTTTTAAAATTGCATTTTAATTATTTTCCTAAGCATATTGTTATTTATTACTAAAATGTTAAGAAAGTTCCTTAACTCTTGAGTCTTAACTATAACTCAATCATTTACCAAATAAAATATTTATGATCATTTTAATCTTTAAATTATCTGTATAAGTCTATACAATTCTAATTGTATTATTAATAATGTTATGAAAATACAATTTGTATGTTTATTTAAATAAATAATAAGAATTTATTGTTTGAATAATGAATTTTATTAATTGTTGAAAATTATTTTATTATTTTTATTCAACTAGTTATTTCTTCTTACATTGTGAAATGTCCTGTGTAATATTTTTATATGGTTTCTTAAAAAGCATTTTTTTCACCAAATAAACTGTATAAAACTTATCAGGCTCTAGTATACTGGGATGGTAGGTATTCAACGGCCAACATTTCACCCCCCCCCCACCCAACCATAATTTAATTGTTTATAGTTTTGTCCCGTATTTTTTATTTTGAAATCTGGTATCCCTTTAGTAGGTACCTATTGGCTATTGGGTACGCATCATGACAAATTATTATCAATTTATTTTGTCGTGGTGCGCGTTTAATTTTATGCAATTCTTTTCTTTACGTCTTCTCAATATTATATTAAAATGTCGAATCGAAGTACTCGGGGTGTACGTCTATTCAGATGTCCGCCACAACTCGAACGCAGAAATATTTGGATAAATAATACCAGAAGAGCTCAATGGCGACCTACAGAATCTGCTGGTCTGTGTGATTACAGGGCCGGGGATAGGGTGGGGCAGAGGGGCCCGGACCTCCGGCGGGGGGGGGGCGTTGTCAGAGGTGTATTTGGGCCATAGATAATAAAGATATGGATAGGACATAATGGTCATCAGCGGTCTTCCAGGGGAATAATTGAGGCCAAATAAAGTATATCTATATGGAGTATCGACTGTCAACAAAAAATGTAAACAAATCGCCTCAATTTCTTATCTATGTTGGACCGCAAAACTAATACGTAATGAATTTGAGGCGTCCTATCCATGTATTTATTATCTATGATTTGGGCATAGCCGCACAGGCCCTGTGGACCCGGGCCATTATCGTCCGTTAGCTCAAAATTAAACAACCATCTATAATATAGGTACCTATACCTACTATATTGTACACATTACGCAACGCAGAACGCACACATAGATAACAAAACAAACGCGCATTCAACGCGGGTTCGATCGGTATAATCGCGTAGTTGGTTTTTATATAGTGTGTGCTATTAATAATATGGTTAATATATATAAATATAATATAGTCGTAAATTCCTAAATACGACCAATAACAACCGACTGTATCAGATAATGAATCCCGGAAAAAAAATCCCCAGACTACAATATTACTCACAACCTCATGCAAATGGTTGGAACAAATATTTTTTAAACGTTAATTAGTATCTATAATTAATATTTAATTACAAATACGTATATTATATTATATAGTTAAAAAAATTATATATTATAAATAATATTTTGTTTTAAATTACGATAATATATTATGTGTAATTCAAATTAAATAACTAACTTAACAACGTTACAAATAGTTGTAGAATATTAAAATATTTTGAATTATCGATACTTCAAATAATACAGTTAAAAAGTGTTAAACACATAGTATACAAAAATATTATACAAAATATAGGTACCTAATAAAAATAATATAAATAAATAACTATAAATAATTTTTGAAAAATTAAGAACAACATTTTATATTACTATATTAATACACATTTTATATTGGTATAATTCTGTAAAAATTAAATCCCTGAAATAAAATATTACGTTTTCAAAACTTTAAATATTACTTATGATTGTTGTGTGAGGTGTAGGTAGTGTACACAAATATATAAAGTATAAAAATATTTCGAGTGATCGATACGTCAAAGAATACAGTTCAAAACATAGTAGGTATATAAAAATATTATAAAAAATTTAAAATATAGGTGGTAAATGGTATAATATCAATAATAATAATAATAAATAATAATAACTATAATCATAATAAAATAATTATCAAACAATAATTTATTGAATTTTGAATGTATTATAGTCACCTACTCACAGTAAAAACATAACATATACAAATATTTAGTAGGTATACAGACATTTTTTACGAAATATAGGTGGTAATAATAATGATAGTAATAATAATTATAGGTACCTATATTTTGTATATAATATTTTTGTATACTACCTATGTTTTTAAC